TATGACTAATCTTGTAAACTGAAATCCATGATTTGGTGTTCCACAGTTGTATAACGAAGTTTGAGGTAATTTATACTCAGATACTTGAATAGATACGAAAGCTTTTCATACATCATTTGTTTTCCTAAGAATGTATTGCTGAGTTTTTCTTTCCTTAGTACCTTTAAGTTACTTGGTGCAATTCTGAAAACTGGTAATGGAAAACTGTTTGGTACTGTTGCTTTCTTTTGACGCTTTGTGATAGTAAGCAGCTTCTTCACACCTTAAATTTTCTTTCCATTAGTGGTGCTGTCTGCAATGTACTCCTGACTTCCTGTAAGGATAATGTTTGTCGTCTCTGGGCAGAGACTTTGTTACCCAATGACAGTCTGTTGTATGGTGGAGGATATGACAATTGGAGTGAAGCGGTGAACTTCACAAATAACTTCAAGAGAAATACTTCAAGTAAGGAAAAAGTGCAAAATGCTTTAGAGGTAAGAATTGAAATTGAACATGAGAATAACCGCATGTGCACAAATGTAATTTTAGACAGGGTTATAATTAGTGACTTGAACATGTATCGTAAGCTGAAATCCTTTAATACCATAGAGGTGCATAAAATGTTATGAAAGAGTGAATTTACTTGAAATCTGCCTTAGGAAGGCTAAGCTGACAGCTTTCCTACTGAGCTTTCTCATTAGAAGACACACTGTTCTTACGTCACTACTACCTATTTTGTTTTGGTGACTGAAGCAAAGTGCTCTGCAGTATCTAGTTCAGTGGGCTAGGAACAGTGTGGAGCATGTACTGTATGTAGCTTATGTGAAACCCACTAATGATGCTGCCTTAAAATGCATGGTAGGGGCTCACTTGTTACCTCTGAAGTTCTGGAATGTTCTCTGGCTTCTGCAAGTGGGAAAAACAGTGATAATACGGAGGGAAGAAAGATAGCCTCTGTTGCCTTTCTGCTGTAGTCCTCAAGTAGAGCAGACTGCTCGTAAACTGTATCTCTAAGGCAAATGATCCTTACTGGATAGCGTTTTCTAACCAGTGGGAAGCAGGGAGAGGGTGAAGCATTAGTGGTCTCCTACAAAGCTGTGTAAGGAGTATGTGGGCACTGTGGTTTTATCATAGTGCATTTAGCATGCTCATGGTGCTTGTTTAGCATACAAGATAGATGTATAATAGATGAAAAATATGACAGGATGAAAGGCACAACACAGCAAAGAAAAAATATCCAAAACAGGGAGGGGAGAGCAAGTTGGGGGCAGTTCCGTGTTCATGTTGAAAATAAGAGGCAACCTGATCTAGCTGAAGATGTCACTGCTCGTTGCAGGGGGGTTGGATGAGATGACCTTAAAAGGTCCCTTCCAACACAAAGATTCTATCATTCTATATGATTCTATGATTAGAGATCAGAAATAACAATTACATAAAAATCGAGAGAAAACTATTTTACTTGAGCATGCTATGTTAAGATGCAAAGGAGAGCAAGTGAAAAGGAATGGCGGGAAGGTAGTACCATCCTTAATACAAATCCTGTATCTTCTTGTGCATTTTGGTGCCTGTTTAGATATCTGCAGCACATTGGACTTGAACTGTGCAGTATGTGAGTGAGACTTTTTAATACTGGCATAGTCAATCTTAAAAATTGAGTTTCTTTTTTTTTTCCCTTGGAAGCATATATTTGCATAAAGAGGGGAAGACCTTAAAACTCATTGGGCCCTTCTGATAGGAGTGGAAGTACTTATCTAACTAGATCCAAAGTATTGATCCAGTTTTTCAGTCTCTGAAATGAAATTATTCAGATCTGCTGCTTTGTGCGGTATCTTGACTAAGCATAGTATACAGTTATGAAACACTAGTATTTTCTGTTTAAGTATAAAAACTGTATAAGTATTGTCTGCACACGGAAATATGAAGCAGTTACTATGTCAAAGTACTGTATGGGCCTTCATAAATGAATTTGAAGGCATTAGTATCTCTCTACTGCAGACACAACCTGAAGAGTGTAATTTTTGCAAGAAACTCCACTGATGCTTTAAAAGTAGCTTTTAAACTGAAAAATTTCATTCAGTAGTATCTAGAAAACCACTTACAGACGAAATCTGCTTTTTCTTTTTGAAAGGAATTAAAATGACACCTTATTCTTCATGCAGTTAAACCTGAGGCACTTTCGACGAGGAAGGAGGAGGTCTGGTGCTGTTGTAGCACATACCGGATATGCTCCACATCAGCAAGATCCCCACGAAGTTCACAGGAACATCCCTCCTCATGCAAATGCACTTTGTCACTTCCATATTGCTGCCAGTATCAATCCAGCCACAGGTAAGAAGTGTGGTAAATCCTTCCTACAGGGTGAGCTACAATTTCGGTTAGATCAGTGTTGTCTGTGTAGGCTTAACTCTCAGATGTATTTGTACAGTATTTATATGATCATACAAAATTACTAGCATATTGGTCTCATTTAATGCACGAAAGAACCTTATTCTACAGTAATTAAATGATCTGAATAAATTTCCTCTACAGTAATCCTGTCTTTTATTTTTGGTCATCTTTTAACTGAGGTTCACAGTGGTCTGAGGTGCAGAAGGCTAAGTATTTTTAACTGAAGTTACAAATTTACTGCAAATTGTGTACGGTATGTGTACTGATAAATCAAACATTTCCAAGCTTCTTCAGAGACTTACTGTCAGGTACTCATTTGAAGTAACTACATATCCCTGTACTTCTGTTCTGTCTTTGAATGAAGCAAAACGTGCCTTTATCTTGTGTTCCATAAACTTCAATATTCTATTGCACTCAAGGAATATGTTGCTAGGCATCACAGAGAATTCCCTACAGCTGCTAATGTTTCTGTCTTCATAATTGTTTGTGTATGCTGAAAATGAAGTGCATATCTGCTCATTGAAAAACTGAATAGAAATGCAATATTGAATGGCCTATCATTAAGATTTCACTGCTGTGATGTGATTTCCTGTGTCTAGACTTAATGAACAAACGTATTATGTAATCCTGTTCTTAAACTAGTTAAGCTCTGTCTTATAAATAGCACTTTTAAATTATTTTTTTGTTCCTACTGACCCTTGTTTGAAAGGCCAAATTTGACCTAAAGGCATTCATGATTATTTCATATCTGTAGCTGTATAGTATGATTGTAAAGAACTATTGGTTTCCATTACCGTTGCTGCGCTAAGCAAGCTGTAAACATTTACTCTTGGAAGATTAGAGTTAGTCTTCACCTTCTTTAGTATTAGTTCATGTTTCTTTTAACAGATATAACTAGAATCACATCCCAGCCTACAAGAAGGAAACTTCTTGCAGTTTTGTGCTGCACCATTGATGCCATTCTATTCTCCAGGAAATGTCTCCAGTCATTACATATGTTACTACCCAATGTCATAAAGGAAAACTCCAAAACTGCTTGGAGATTTTTAGCTCTCCTCTCTGTATTTCTGCATCTTCAGATCGCATAAGGAGCTAGCTAACCTTTTCATGTGGCTAGCACATAATCTTTCACTATCTTTTTTAATACGTACTCTTAATGCACTTCTTTCCTTGTTTGCTTATACATAATAACCATTAACTTTGCTTTTGATAGATATTGCAATATAAATGTACCCAACAGCAAACTCACAGAATGGAATGAAAGTAATTTTGGAAAAGAATAGTAAAAAGTTTCCTTAAGTTTCTAACACTTGGCTTTGGCCTTTTCAATCTTGTATTCCGTTTTATGTCATCTGTGTTAATATTATATATCTTGATACTGTGTTTTGGATCACTTGGTCTTTAACTCAGTAGCTTGGAGGACAGCAGGTTGTTCTTCAATGCAGAACCTCTGTTTGAAGTAACCTTCACATCTTAAATCTCAATATGAAGAAATGTCTGTTGTCCCTCACAGTCAAGTCCTTAAATACCTCAGTCTAACCAGATTCTCTAACTAATCTTTTTATGTTGTCCTTTAGAAATTAACTTTAATCTGAAAACCTACTTGTCTTTTCTTTGACTTAATTTAAACCAAATTGGTTTATGATCTCTCACCTGAAAATTTGCCCTTACTACAACATTCAGAGTACTTGGTAAAAACTGAGGTCGAAGCAGCTTTATCTCTCATTCATTTCACTTTTTGAAGAATAGTAATGCTGTCAATATATAAGAATAAATGTCCTTTTAGTTTTTATTGCATTTCTGTTCTCTTGTTAATTTTGAAACTCATTTTCTTATAGCAACAGAATCCTTGAGACCTTCTTTTATACTAGAGTATTACTTGAACTGGTATTCAGCCTGGGTAGAGTTCAGTGAAACGAATAAGCAGTGGTTGTTAGTACAAAATTCTTAGTCAAATCCAGAAAAAATTCTTGAATCCAGAGACCTTAGAAGTTTTCTGGAAGACACAAATAGGATTTATGAGGCAAATAAAAATTCACTAAGGATTTTGTCCAGAGCTGAGCATCAGTTACAGGTTGGTAGTTTTGAGGTAGGAGAATGAAAATGCATCCCCTTTCCACGACAAAATTGCTGGTAGTCCTCATGGTCCTTTTCTTCTATCTGTGTGCTCTCAGTTATCATTTTTTTAGGCTAGACTGGAGGGTAATTCAAAGCCATCACTGGCTATGAAAAAAATCGCACAAATGGACTAAAAAGTATTTTGTCTCCCAGGGCATGGAATTTAAATAATGCTACATAAATAGGAAAAAGAAGAGGAGAAAGTATATATGGAGACTTCTAGGTGGAAATTAATGCAGGTTGAGCTTTTAGTAATGTTGTTGTATGGCTCATTTGAAGAAGTTGCAGTAAATCACCTAGATGCTCTTTTAGCCACACATAATTTAGATGCTGTTACTCTGCAGCAGCCTGGTATTTGCTTCTGTCACTTTGTGATTACTGCTTTATTTTTCACAGCTGCGTGGGACACCAAGTAGCATTATAGGGCAATGCAAAATAATAACGGAATCTATAGGAATCAGAAATCCTGGCTTTATGTGATGGTGTTACAGTGGACATAATCTGGTCACTGTCCTGGTTTTTGCTACTGTAAGCCCTGTCGTATATATGTCGTATGACTAAATGTTGGGAAGTTACACTTAAATTGCTTGGTTTCTACTGAGCTGTAGTATCAAAGGATGAGGTAAATTAACCTGTACAGACAGTGTTACTGTCATGAAGATGTAACAGCACAGGGCCATACTGTAAACCTAATATAAGCGTACCAAAGCTGTGGAACATCGCTTGTAGTAGACAAGTCAGGCAATTTAATACTTGAAAGTAGATGATGTTGATGAAAGGAATGACAAGTAGCAATACACTTAGTGTATTTTTTTCATGGTAGGGTTTCTGCTTAAAAAATTTTTTTCTAAAATTATTTTTTGACCGAAGTACTAGGTTTTCAAAAATTTCAATGTCTTTTTCTGGTAGATATTCCTTTACTCCCTTCTATCACATCTCTGAGTCTTGGTGAAAATGAAGAAAAAAGTGGACCTTTTGTTGTGCACTGGCTAAACAATAAAGAACTTCATTTTACCTTATCCATGGAAGTATTTTTGCAACAACTTAAAAAAAGTTTTGAACATCATTCTCCTGAGAATACCATGGAGGAATCTAATGAAATGGATGGCAGATCAGAAGAAGGTAAAAGTCTTATCATAGACAAATGGCTTTCATGTTATAAAAAAAGTAATTTGTAATGTTCTTTCACGTGAAATAAGAAGTAGGCAACTTTACATGTACGGATAGAACCATACAGTCATAGAATAGCTTTTGTTGGAGGGCACCTTTAAAGGTCATCTAGTCCGACCCCCCT